TTAAACCAGAAAATTATATTAACTTTCACGGATATAATATTGTCAGAGACGACCGCTTTTCAGCAACTGTCGGTGGTGGCTCGGCAATTTTAATAAACTCAAATCTGTATTATGAGGAAGTCACCATGAAAGTCAAATTATTCAACATCAATAAAGTAGCCATTAAAATTAAGTTTAAATCATTCACTGTAACATTTATTTCGATGTATGTTCCCCCAGGAGTAAAATTATCGTTACAACAATGGAACAATTTCATAACATCTATAGAAAGACCATTCATAATAGGAGGCGATTTCAATGCTCATCACATTGCCTGGGGCTTAGACAATCATACAGATATAAAAGGCAAAATCTTAATGGACTGTATAGATGATAATAATTTGATATACAAAAACGATGGCTCTCCTACTTTCTTTAGAAACTTTTCGAAATCGGCAATAGATCTGACGATTTGTACTCTTGACTTAAGTCATCTGATCACTTGGAAAACACTTCAAGACCTATTCGGTTCAGACCATGCTCCTATAAAGATGGAATTAGCGGATCAACCAACTCATATATATAACCCGTATTCAGAAAAGTGGAATTTAAAGAAAGCCGACTGGAAATTATATGAACAATTTTCGGAAGATATCTTCTCTCAATCTGAAGATATAAATTCATATGAAAAATTTTTGCACAATATAAATATAACTGCATCCTACAGCATCCCCAAATTTAAAATAAAAAAACCAACTTCCAGAGGAAAATACTGGTGGGATTTAGAATGTGAGGAAGCAGTCAGAAGAAGACGGGAAAGTTTTTGTATATTCAAAGATAATCCAAACCAAGAAAACCTACTCAAGTATAAAAAAGATGATGCCCACGCGAAGAAGATCACTAAACAAGCTAAAAGAAATAGCTGGAGAGATTATGTCAAGTGCTTAAATAGGTCGGTTCCCATTAAAGATGTATGGTCAAAAGTTAATAGACTAAAAAATAGAAAAACTAAGAACAAAGTCCCTATAATATTGTCGGAAGCTTCATGGATAGACGAGTTCCACCAAAATATCACTCCACTGTCTGCAGAATTAGTAATTCCTGATCTACAACTGAATGCGCAATACGATTATCCAGAACAAATCCGCTTCTTAATCAAACCATTTTCTGACACTGAACTTTACTTTTCGTTAAAGAAAAATTCAAATTCAGCACCAGGTGCTGATGAAATCCATTACTCGATGCTATCAAATCTTTCAAAAATTGGTAAGACTGTGCTTCTGAATATATACAATGAAATTTGGTCACGGCGCATAAAGATTCCTGACGATTGGCACGTTTATACTATTCTTCCGATCTTGAAACCCGGAAAATCGTTAAATAATTGGGATTCTTACCGTCCAATAGGGCTGGCGTCATGTATACTTAAAACATATGAAAGACTTATTAAAAACCGTCTGGAATTTTGGTTAGAAAAGAACGACCTATTACCAAAAACTCAGTTTGGTTTTAGAAAAGGTAAATCCACATAAGAAAGCCTGAGTCACTTATTGATAGACATTTATAGTTCATTTACTTGTAAGAAAGCAGTTAGTGCTTTGTTTTTAGATATAAAAGGGGCTTATGACAATGTTAATCTTCACATTCTATATGCGAAAATGTTGGAAATATTAATACCTGAAACTGTAACATGGAATATCATTAATTTGTATATTAATCGATCAGTACACGTTAGATTAAATGGTGATAAATCTAACACACGGTACACATCTTTAGGACTACCACAAGGTAGCATCTTGAGTCCTCTATTATATATTCTGTATACTGCTGATTTAGAAAATAAACTTCCTCGACACATAAAAATCTTACAGTATGCTGATGATGTTGCAATCTATGTAGAAAATAAGTCAATAGATAAATGTAATGAAAACCTTAAATCAGGATTGAATATTATAAAAAAATGGGCGCCGGATAAGAATTTAACAATCTCGGAGAGTAAATCAACCATTGTTACTTTTACCAGAAAACGTTATTCTCCCCCAAACCACCTACAATTTGATAATTATAAAATTAATTATAAAACTTCAATAAAATTCCTTGGCGTCTTCTTAGACTCAAAATTGAATTGGAAAGAACACACGAATTATATATTAAGAAGAACGGAAAACGCAATGAATATCATCAAGACTGTAAATGTCAGTAACTGGGGAACTGATCCAAACATCTCAATATTACTATACAGAAATTTAATGAGATCGATCCTAGATTACGGATCTATATTTTATGGCTCAGCATCAAACGCTGTACTCCAAAAAATCGAAAGTATAAAAAATAAGGCACTTAGATTAAGCACTGGTTATCTTCGTAGTACTCCCATATTGGTCATGGAATGTGAGCTTAATGAACCTCCACTTTCATTACGCAGAGAATTCCTAAGTGAAAAATTTATAGTTAAAGTGGCAGTTAACAATAAACTGTTGTTAAATAAAATTGTACAATTAACCACTACATACCTAACTCATCATTACTGGGAAAAAAAGAAGCAGCTTTTAGTTGTGGAAAGTTTTCTCAACGTTTCTTGTTATATTGACGACATATGCAAAATGGATCAACCCTCATCTCGAAAATTAAACTATGAAGATTATTTATCTCCATTTAACTGCCATTTAAGTAATATTCTTGCCACAGATTTTCTTACTAAAATAGATCATCTTCAGTATGTACAAAGTCATTGGGGAAGTTATCAAAAATTATATACAGATGGTTCAAAAATGGACGGCAAAGTTGGATATGCTATATTCTACCCCCAAAAAAGTATAAAGAAAAACAACAGATTACCCGACAAAATGACAACTTTCACAGCTGAACTCATAGCAGTCAAAGAAGCCTACAAAATATGTATGAATCAAAAAGAACTAAACTATGTTATATTTACAGACTGCCAAAGCATTGTACATAAACTGAAATATAATTTTCATACTTTTGTAGACAATTATATCATCAGTGACATTATAGCACTGAACAGTGAAGCTTTGAAATCGGGCAAAAATATCATATTGTGCTGGATAAAAGCACATATTGGTATAAAAAAACAACGAAATAGTAGATGATCTGGCAAAAAAAGCAACAATGAAAGAATCCACTCTTCAAACCTATCAACTTCCTATGGGAGATTTAATATCTGTAATCAGGTCTCTTAAACGGACCAAATGGCAGGGACACTACAACAATTCGGACAAAGGCAAATTTTATAAAATAATCCAACCCAAAATTTCCGTCAAGATATGGTTTAAACAAGTTTCCAACAGAGGCTTCATCAAAACTATTTGTAGAATAAGAAAAGCAATCATTGTATGACTCCAGTCTATAAAAGAAAAATGGGACTGGCAAATAATAATGAATGTATATGTGGAGAGCTAGCTGATCTACAACATATGCTGTTAGAATGTCCTTTACATTTTATTGAAATATCAAATTTTTTTACCAAGCTAGTTCAAGTTAATGTTCAATTACCTTTTAATCTAACACATCTTTTAGAGTCAAAAAATCTAGATGTATATAAAATTATATATAGTTATATTAATTGTTTAAAATTAAAGCTCTGATAAAAAAAAAATAAAAAAGAATAAAAAAAATGAAGAACAAAATAAAAAAAAAAATACTAAGAAGATCTAAACCTCCGAGGTGTCGAATCGGGTTTATGTCTTAGCGTAGTAATAAAAAAAATAAATAAATAAATAAAAAAAAATAAATAAAAAAAAATAAAAAAAAAAATAAAAAAAATAAATAAAAAAAAATAAATAAAAAATAAAAAAAAAGATACAAAAAACAAAACAGCAAAATCAGAGTAATCTAGTAAATAAGTTTCTAACATTCCATGTTTTAACTGTCAATACAATACAATAGTTCTAAATGTAAATACTAACAATATCTTTTGTAAAGAGAGAACTTAAAACAAATTGACTGGCCAGTTGGTTGTCAAAACCAGTGCCAATAAAACACACACACACACACACACACAGGTCTTTCTATACCATGCTCTCAGGTTAGCAAACTAGGATAATTTTCTTCGTCCTGGGGCCCTTTTTCCTTCAATTTTACCTTGAGTATTGCAGCTTACGGCCCTTCACGATGTTGACCAAATCCGCGGTTTTGTTCATCCTCCGCTGTACTTCTTCATTGGTGACTTTGTCTATCCATGGTATCTCCAGGATCCTTCTGTATAACCACAGAATACTAATCACAAGAAGCGAAAGCTTAAGCTTTGTCGGAACCTTTGATGTTGGTAGGACAGAAACTCAGAGTGACAGTGGCAATGAAACTACGCATTATTACACGAAGAAAAGTAGTGAGGAAGTCGTTCAAAACTGTAGTCAAATGATAGGTACACTGAGAAATAAAGTAATCATTTTTAAGTAATCTGTTTTGTATGAATTTTATTTTTTCTGTAAAATTTAATATAACTAATATAGCAATTCTGTACTGATAATTAAAAAGTTGTTAAGTCAAAAATATCGATTTGCTTTTTTTTAACAAACAAATTAACGTACTAAAAGTATTTTAGTACGTTAAAAAAACGATAAAAATCGATAGAATTTGAGAGTTAATTTCAAAATAGAGATGAAAAGCAGTTGGTTTCTATGACTTTTTATCGTTTTTTTAAGGTTATTAAAACAGTTCATCACTCAAAATCTATATTTTGACTCAAGACTTTTTTTACTTATCAATACAGAATTATACTTTTGAAATTTCTATTAACTTTGTCTTAAGTTGCTGACTTTTTTTGTTTCCTGTTGGGGAATTTCTTTGAATGTGAATATCTATTAACCTCCAACACCACGATATTTTCGCTGCGCGTAAAAACTCTGCAGCTGCGGCTAGAATGACTGTATACCCCTTAGATTTCTTTCTATGCATCTGAGGCCTCTGAAACTTCTGGTTGTACAGTACTACATTCAATTCGCCTGGATACATCACATTTGTGGTAGGGAGGGGTAAAAAATTGTAATAAAACACAATAATAATAATAGAAATTTATTGTAATTAATACTAATAATAATGTTTATTTAGGAAGCTTAGATTATAATATAGATTTACAAAAAATAAGCATACTTAACACTAAATAAACATGAAAAATCACTGAAATAGAGCTACCATAAAAGTAGCACCTCTTGTGTGTGATATTTTTTTCGGATGTGAGCCCAATAGGAAGGAGGAAAAGGTAGACCTCGAACATCATGGAGGGATGAAATGGACGAGGCCATAGAAAGACGAGACCTTAGAATGGCAGAACAGAAAGGACTGGAGACGTTGGCTGAAAGAAGCGAGGCGGCGACAGCTGTAAAAATCCTTATATAGATAGATAGATCCTAATTCTTCTTCTCTTCTTCCTTTGCCCTATCCGTTTCGGACGTTGGCTATTAACAAGGCTATTTTGACTTTGTTTACGGCACCTCTGAACAGTTCGGTCGATGTTAGTCCGAACCATTGTCGCAGGTTATGCATCCATGAGTGTCGTCTTCTTCCCGGTCCCCTCCTACTGTCGATTCTTCCTTGGACTATTATTTTATTTATTACTATTATCAATTAATCTGCTCTTCGCAGAATTGTGTTATTTTGTTTCCAATTTATTGTTTAGTTTTATACTGATATCTATGTTTTTTTTATAACTCTTAATTTGTTTTAAATTCTCCGGTAGACAATTGTATCATTTGGGCCCTATGTAGCCAACATATTTCTGGAGTATGGATTTATTACATTTAGATAAAATTGCATTATTCCTTATATAACTAGTTTGATGCGCATGATTGCTAATGTATAATAGTATCCTTTTTTAGTTCATGTATGTGTATAAGAGGTTTGTAAGAGGACAATTTACGTACAGTTAATAATTTATTCTCGTTGTATAACAGTTCGCAGTAACAGTAATTAAAATCTAATTAACCACTTCTGAATGTTTATAGAATGCAAGTAAATATTCCTTATTCCGCCCTATTCTAAAAGATCATCATAAGCATGGATAAACATAACCCGGATGGGAATAGAATAGAAATATATGCTTTATTTTTTTTTTTTGATTTTTTGTTCCAAAAAAAATCCAATTAAATATAATGAAACTGATCGATTAATAAAAAAGAGAATAAAATAAGCTAAGGAGAGAATGTTACATGAGCAGTGCCAAGAACTAGAAGAAATTGAGAAAAAATATGACTTTTTTAACATGCATAAAAGAATTAGAGAATTAACAGGAATGAGAAAAACACTTCAAACTAGGCAACTAAGAGATGAAAGGGGTGCACTTATAACAGATATAAACCAAAAAATGCAGAGATGAACACAATATATAGCACAACTATTTGAAGACAAAGAGAGAACAGAAGCACCAAAAGAATTTAAGAATGATACTGGGCCTGACATTATACGAGAAGAAATTGAATATGCAATGAAACAAGCTAAAGGTGGTAAATCTCCCGGGCCTGATGAAGTTCCTATCGAATTACTTAAAATTGTGAATACTGAATCTATTGATCTTCTTTTGGATCTATTCAATACCATATATAGAACAGGTATAATACCTAAAGAATGGCTTCAATCAACATTCATACTGCTTCCCAAAAAAGCCAATGCAAAGGAGTGCAATGAACATCGCACCATAGCCTTAATGAGTGATGTCTTGAAATTGTTTTTAAAAGTAATTCACAATAGAATACATAAGAAATTAGATGAAGGCATAAGTAGTAATACACAAATGGGATTTAGGAAAGGACTGGGAACACGAGATGTACTGTTTGCAGTAAGTGTTCTTTCGCATAGATGCTTAGATATTAATCAGGAAGTATATACCTGTTTCATTGATTTTAAGAAGGCATTTGACAGAATGCAGCATAATCGACTTAAAGAAATTTTATTAAATAAAAACATAGACAGTAGAGACATTAGAATCATCTGTAACCTCTATTGGAATCAAACAGCAAAAGTAAAAGTTGAAAACGAACTGACCAAGGATATCCAGATTCGCCGTGGGGTCCGCCAAGGGTATATTTTATCACCCTTGTTATTCAATTTATACAGTGAAGCCATCTCAGAATTAGCTCTTGCCGAAATCAGTGAGGGCCTTATAATAAACAGTGAGCCACTTAATAACATAAGATATGCTGACGACATCGTTCTTCTGGCAGGAACACTAGAAGAACTGCAACACCTTGCTGAACAACTAAATATATATTGCAACGATTATGGACTAAAAATCAATTTGAAGAAAACCAAGTTCATGGTATTTACAAAAGCACAAAACATCAAAGTTAAGCTAGTACTAGATAATACAGAAATTGAACAAACATCTTCGTACAAATACCTTGGAGCATGGATCACAGAAGATACTGATCAGACAAAAGAAATAAGATGCCGCATTGAAATTGCGCGGTCAACTTTTAATAGAATGAGAAAACTTTTTTGTAATCGCAATATCAATAAATCGCTCCGGATAAGAATGCTTCGATGTTATATTTTCTCTACCCTTTTGTATGGAGTTGAAGCTTGGACACTTAAAAAATCCAACATTAAAAACCTAGAAGCATTCGAAATGTGGTGTTACCGACGCATTTTGAAAATATCATGGATGGATCGCAAAACAAACGAACAAGTTCTCGAACAACTAGGAAAACAATGCGAAGTTTTAAATTCCATAAAGATCAGGAAATTGGAATACTTGGGGCACTTGGATAAGAATGCTTCGATGTTATATTTTCTCTACACTTTTGTATGGAGTTGAAGCTTGGACACTTAAAAAATCCAACATTAAAAACCTAGAAGCATTCGAAATGTGGTGTTACCGACGCATTTTGAAAATATCATGGATGGATCGCAAAACAAACGAACAAGTTCTTGAACAACTAGGAGAACAATGCGAAGTTTTAAATTCCATAAAGATCAGGAAATTGGAATACTTGGGGCACATCATGAGAGGTGAAAAGTACGAACTACTAAGGAATATAATGCAGGGTAAAATCAAAGGTAGAAGAAGCGTAGGAAGACGTAAAATCTCGTGGCTACGCAATCTCCGTGAGTGGTTTGGATGCAGTTCAATTGAACTATTCAGGCAAGTAACCAATAAAATTATAATTGCCAGAATGATTTCCAATCTCCGATAGGAGTGGAACTTGAAGATGAAGAATATGCTTTATTGTCATTGAAAATTTTACAATTTTATGGACGAAGCTTACAAAGACTCAGAGGAAAAAGACAATAACAAATTGCATAATCAACCGTAGGAACTAATAAGTTTAAGCTACTTTGGGTAATGATGACCCACGGGTAAAGAACCATGGAACTATACATTAAGATATTGTAATTTCTTAGTTATTAATTAATTAGGTTCAAAAAGTATAATGTCAAAGCGAATTGTTTGTATTTCTTTGAATATATTCTGGTCTTTGGTACTTTTTTCTGCAACAGTGCTTGAGATTTCACAATTTATTAGGAAATTTGTCACATAATTTTTTAAACTGTTCTAATTCTTGTTTTGAGTCGTTTTGTTTTTTATATGTTTTTGTATTTAAAAGTTTCCATTTTAAAAACCTTATTTAACATGTCAGCTTAAACCTGGTCCGACTCTAATTTACTTTCTTTTAACCTGGATAAAACAGTAGCATTATCCTATCAAGGAGCTCTTCAACTCTTAACAGCCAGATCAGTACCGCTGATTCTGTAAAATTTCTTGGTATTTTTTGAGACAGCAACCTTAAATGGTCCCTTCATATCGATTTGTTAAGTAAGAAACTAGCCTCAGCCTGCTATGCAATAAGATCTGTTTCGAAGGCGATCAATTTAGAATCTTCCAAAATTGCATATTTTTCTTTCTTCGGGTCTCATCTAGTATTGTTTATAATTACATTTGAGTGTCTCAAGCAGTGACAAATTATGTAAGTTATACAATAATTTTACTAATTTAAAATTGTATTGTTGTGTTTTTTATTATATTTGTTTTGTTTTATACTTTTTGTACTATTTGACTGATTTTTTTAGCTTTGTCCATAAAATTTTTCAATAATTTTCAGTGACAATAAAGCATATTTCTATTCTATTCTATCCAAATACACAGTCTGGTTCTTCACTCAAACAAAGTTCAAAATAGTAATGTACAAAAAACTCACAAGAAATTCCAAACACAATTCGGATGTCAAAACAGTAAAACGCACCTTTCATACGCATACAATAACCATGTTTATAAACCAACATAAACCACTTCATAGCAGGTAGATTGTTTGTTAGCATAGCAGGTATATTGTTTTTTGTTTGTTATGCGTTCGGAGAATGACTATAACTAATGGAAATTTTATGCGAAGAGTCAGTGTTGTTTTCAGAAACCTTAACAGTTTGAGCGATACATTATTAGCAAAAAATTTTGCAAATGGCGTCCCTTACTATACTTTAAAAAATTTCCATCGACCTACCAAACACCCTTTATACACTCCCACATGTTCATAAATAGCCCACTATAGTAAACTGCTTAAAATAAATGTCACATGTTGTAAGATTTCTCTCCTGTGTGTTGTTTTTTCAAATGTGTTTTTAAATTACATAATTGAGTAAACTGCTTGAAACAAATCTCACACTTGTAAGGTTTTTCTCCAGTGTGTGTCATCAAATGTGTTTTCAAATAACTGGAGTTAGTAAACTGCATAAAACAAATATCACACTTGTAAGGTTTTTCTCCAGTGTGTACTCTCGAATGTGTTTTCAAAGTATTGGATCTAGTAAACTGCTTAAAACAAATTTCACATTGATAAGATTTTTCTCCAGTGTGCACTATCGAATGTCTTTTTAAATCAGTGTTTCGAGGGAACTGCTTAAAGCAAACTTCACACTGGTAAGGCTTGACTCCAGTGTGCAGTCTCAAATGATTTCTTAAACTTCCTGCTTCAGTAAATTGTTTAAAACAAATTTCACACTTGTAAGGCTTCACTCCAGTGTGCAGTCTCGAATGCTTTTTTAAATTTCCTGCTAGGGTAAATTGTTTAAAACAAATTTTACATTTATAAGGCTTTTGTCCACTGTGCACTACCGAATGATTTTTTAAATCACGTTTTTGAGTGAACTGAGTAACACAAATTTCACACTTATAAGGTTTTTCTGCCGAATGTGTCCACACATGTAGTCTCAAAGAACTTGCTACAGTAAACCTCTTAAAACAAATTGTACACCTGTATGGTTTTTCTCCAGTGTGCAATCTCGAATGTGTTTTCAAATTAGAGGATGTAGTAAACTGCTTAAAACAAATTTCACATTTATAAATATCCCCAGACTGTATCCCAAAACGTCGATTCTTTTTAGCTTGTCTCACATGTGGTGTTTTATTACAGAAATGATCAGGTAATCCTTTCCCAGTTTCCATTATATTTTCCTCTTGCTGAAAACCTAAAACAATAACCAAACAAAATTATTTGATGCCTAAACTATAAAATTGGAAATTATTAAATGTAGAAGGAATAAATGTAGCAAAAGTTTAAAGTAAAGAATCCAATGACTTTTGTTAGAATTATTGATAAAAGCATTCAACACAAATGGTTGGGACAAGGGATCATTCAAAAAAGGTGAACCAAAGATTGTCTCAACTCTAAGGTAAATATATTATGAACAAAAGAAAATTTGTACTAAGTACAGTAAAATAATTAAAATATATCTAAATGGTAATATTAATAATATTACCATTTATATATATTTTTAGTTGCTTCTTATAATCTTTAGCCAAGTACACTTTTATTACAGCTGTAAAAATTTTTTATAATTAAAATATGAAATTATTTTTAATCCCTTTACCCCGGTTGCAAATACGCCAATGGTCGTATTCGCAAATGGGTTGTTAAATTTTATTGGAAACTACCGAAATATTACGGAAGAATCTACCGACTTATTTAAAGACGCCGGTTTGTTTGATCCTTAGTTGGTTCTTTTCCGGTTTTCAAGCGGGTTTTGTTTGATACTTTGGCGAACGTCGTCGAAAGCACGTTGTAATTTTTCTGAAGAGAACCTAATCCAAAAGGATTTATTTTCCTCACGTCCAGTTACTAGTACTGCATTTACCTCGAACTTTCCGATAGTCGTTAGAACATTACCTTCTTAAAAATACATACAGAAGGACTTGTTAATTTTGAGTGGGAGATATCCCACCTTTCTTGGGTAGTTTGGTAAATTTTTAGAAGAACCAGATTACTTTTGGTCGGGCGACCTTTGAGTAAAGACGTTCGCTCATATTATCGTCTCTGTGTTACCTTACCGTCTCTGAGCATTTTTTCTCTAAGTGTGTATACACTTAAATGTTAAAAAGTCTAACGCAGCAGTTTAAAATTCTAGATGAATCTGCGGCTTAGACTAGGATATGCTGGGATCTGATCGGCCTATGGTGGAGCAGTACGGCAAGAGATAAGGGCTTGCGGCTCGGTGATACTCCTCCATATTTCCCTACCGGACGGGCGTAACGCCTAAAAAACCGGAGATATATATATATATATATATATATATATATATATATATATATATATAACTAATATGTAAGTCAAATTTGCTTAACATAGAACAACTTTTTGTGGAAGTTAAACTGAATGATGATCAGCTTATAATAGGAGGAATCTATATACCACCTAGTTCATTAGCTGAGGCATATGAATATCACTGCACCTTTCTTGAGGAACTGATAAGTCAACATCCACAGAGTTCTGTGATCTTGGCTGGCAATTACAACCTGAGAGATGCTAATGATCAAAACGGGGTTTATTTATCTACCATACTTCCTGATGGATCTCATGCGAATACAGTTTGTGGATCTTTTGCATTTTTAAATCTCCATCAGTGCAATAATATACCAAACAGACATGGAACATTCCTGGATCGCATTTTTTCACATATACCTGATCTAAATGTATGTACGCCGGTCGATCCATTGTTTTGTGAATCATTCAGGCATAAGCCGTATGAATTTTTTATCCCTATTGGTTATTTTAACGAGTCAGTTTTTTATGAAGACTATGTTTATGATTTCAAAAACTGTAATTTTAATTCTGTTAACCTTTATCTATCTTCAGTTAATTGGGATGCATTATACCATTGTAATAATATAAATGAGGCTTGTCAAATATTTTACAGCTATATGTATCAGTGTTTAGATATTTTTGTTCCTATGAAGGCTGTCAAGTGTTCCTACAAGTTCCCAATAAAACTTAAAGATCTTATTATTCAAAAGAAAAAAGCTCATCTGAGGTTTAAATTATCTAATTCAAATGAGGACTACTTATTGTTCTCCAATCTACGTGATCAATGTAAAGTTGAACATACACTTTGTCAGAAACAACATTTTTCATCTCTTGAAAAAAATTTTAGTAATAACCCCAGGGAATTTTGGGGATACATTGGCAGACTTCGTAAATCTTCGAGTTACCCCCAAGAAATGTATCTCGGTAACAGAAGGGCACAGGGCAATATCGAAATTGCTAACCTTTTTGCTGAATTCTTCTCTAGTGTATATGAGAAATATAAAGGTGCTCCCATTCCAGATTTTAAAGACTGTGTCAGACACATTGACCCTGTAAACCTAATTCAAGTTGACACTATATCAGTGTTTGATGAATAAAGTAAACTTCCAAACAAATTCTCCTCAGGGCCTGATGGAGTCCCACCGGTATTATTAAAGCACTGCCTATGCTCTCTTACTATTCCCCTAAAATATCTTTATAATCTATCTCTTATGACTGGTGAGTTCCCTCCGTGCTGGAAGAACAGTTATATTGTACCCATTTTTAAGTCAGGTAAAAGAGAGGATATTGAAAAATACAGAGGAATTTGTATACAGTCAGCAATCCCAAAACTTCTCGACAAACTAGTGACTTCTCACTTATCAAAACTAACAGACAATATAATAATACCCCAACAACATGGTTTTCAAAGGGGGAGGAACACAATGTCAAACTTGTTGGTCTACCAAGATGATATATTGGGTGCCTTTGAGAGGAAGTACCAGGTGGACAGCATCTATACTGACTTCTCAAAGGCATTCGATAAAGTAAATCATCGTTATTTAATCAGTAAATTAGGAGCCATTGGTATAGCTGGCAAATGGCTTGATTGATATGATAGTTTTCTTGTGGGTAACACCCAGAGCATTAAGATAAATGGTGTGTTGTCTCAATCTGTTGACGTCCTCTCTGGAGTACCACAAGGGTCACATTGTGGTCCCCTACTTTTTGCCCTCTTTATTAACGACGTTGAAAAAGTCATTAAGAATTCAAAATTTCTGAACTTTGCTGATGTTAAAAAAATTTATAAAGCCATTACTTGTCAGTATGATCAAATTCAGTTACAAGAGGATCTCAGCAGATTTAGCGATTGGTGCAAACTAAATGAATTAAAATTGAACATTGATAAGTGTTGTGTTATTACTTTTCACAGAAAGCAAACAATTTTAAATTACGATTATAGCATTGATAACACTCAGCTGTCAAGGCAGGACTGTGTTAAGGATTTAGGTGTTTATTTTGATTGTAAATTAACATTTCGTAATCATCTAGAGGTCACAGTAAACATTGCATTTAAACAATTAGGGTTTATAACTAGAAACACTTCTCAATTTTCATGTTTTGTTTTACCAATTCTTTTTAATAGTCTCATTCGTTCCAGACTAGAATATGCAATAGTTGTATGGGGACCTTACTATCAAACCTCTATAGACAAGCTTGATCGTGTTCAGCATAAATTTTGTAAACACTATCATTACCGTAGTGCTTTTCATGACCTTTCTGTCCCATACAGTTATAGTATGATAGCTGATCACTTAAAAATGGTTTCCATGAATCAGCGAAAAGATTATTTTTGCCTAATATTCCTTTACAAAATTGTTAATAATTTGATAAATTGCCCTGAACTTTTAAATCGATTAGGTCTTAACACTCTTCATGGAACTAGACATACTTCATTGTTTCATCTGCCATTTCATCAATTTAATTATGAATACTTCAAGCCTCTTACTAATATGTTGAGACTATATAATAGGTACCAAAGTGATCTGGACTTATTTTTCCAGTCCTTAGAACAATTTAAAAATGTGATAAACAGAGTGCTATTTGTGTAATATTAGTTTGTATTGAAGTTAATTATTAGTTTTTGATATTAGTTTGTATTCAAGTTAATTATTAGTTTTTGTTAAACTTTACTATTATTTTCCAATGTTGTGCTTACTTTGCAAAATTTTATATATATGTTGTTCCAATGTAAAAATGGTATATCCGTTAATAAATAAATAAATAAATAAAAATAAATATATAATAATAATAATAGCTTCAGTGCACTGTAGCAGTCATTGAGAATTGCTGTAAGTTATCATAATCATAGTACCTTCAATTATCTGGACGAATCTACGTCGACTATCTCATCATCTGTAGTTAGGGTTAACTACCGATGTAACAGTTGGACTAAAAGAACATTTAATATTTTCTTACGAACTTTTAATCAACTTTAGGAACTTCTAATAAATCATAATTAAGAACATCTAATTCTCCGTTAATCATTAAACAACAGTGCGAATAGATAATTAACTAAAACCAAGTGCGGGTGGTTTAATTTTTATAATACAGCACTCTTGAAACCCTTTTGTATTCTTTGAATTTAAATTTAATCAAATTTGTTATTTGTTATAACTGTTATTCAATTTTTTTATTATTGTATTATATTGTATTTGTAAAGGTATTTCCTAATTATAATACTGTTCATTTCTATACATATGTATACAACCATTGATCGATTGATGGTGCATTTTTATTACTTGTCTGTACATTAAGCTCCCTTTATCATTGTGGTGTTGAATATATTGTTTTTGTTTTATGTATGAATTTTATTTGTCGACTCCTAACAAGTTTCCTAATATAACAATACCTCTGCATATTTGCTTATTATATTAAATATTTCTTATACCTTCGACCAGAAGAAAGATCAGGCTGATTAAGTTTCGTAGGTAAGTAGATGGACGGAGTACACCTAATATATTTATTATTTGTTTATGTAGAGTGTTGACCAAATTTACCTAATAATTAACTGTTAATATCTTTTCTTGGGTTTGATCTCTGAGCCTAAATATCTTTCCTAATCTCTTTTCTTTTCTAATGTTTCTTAATTTTAACCTTTAACCCCAAAACGTTAAGTGGTGCCCTGTTTCTATCTTATCTTATCTTTTTACGAGTAAAAAAATATTTAAGGATTTAGAATGTGAACTTATAGAAACACCATAAGTTGTTTCATTTAATTTGTATTAGTGAATTATAAGCGTTTTTATGAAGCACACTTGTCCGGATCACACTTTAACTGCAACCAAACGAAGGTGACATTTTGGCATAAATTGGTAAAACTTATTTTAGTCCAGGAAATGAAGCATT